GGCAAACATTTTGCCCCCCTTACAAGGGCTCGATGCCTGATATGTTCGTATATGTCTCCCTTAAACATCACCGCACAAGGACACCTTGCCGCAATAAGTCCAAGAAGTGATGCTTAAACTGGCCGCACTGAAACATAGGAGCCCGGTTGCATAACTCAATCCTTTGCAGCCGTCGCGGAGCGCCTTCTGTGCACCGAAGAAAGCAACGGCGCCAAAGACCTGGGCCAATGCGGAAAACGAAGAGGTGTGCTGCGAGCAAAGGGAGGGAAACACGAAAGGTGGGCTCCTGACATCAACCTATGGTCAGTTGACTAGGAACCCACTGGAACCCTAACAAGCACGCATGAACAAGAACTCCATGTCAATGTGAGGGGTCATGCCCCCTCCAATGCAGACCAACTTCTCCTTCGGGCCCGCAAAAACAGTCCCATGTTCGACCCCAACAACAGTGGAACCGGACCCGGGCAGTCCATAGGGACGAATGTTTTGCGAGGACCCCAGTCGAATCGGATCCGTCGCAAGTCAATTAGAAACCCTCACATGGTAAGGAGACAACCCCAGCTACCTCCCTCACTCCTTCCCATGCTTACTAAGCTGGTTCATCCCAGCAGGATCTTGCCCATGGTCAATTTCTGCATCCAATATGGGTCATCCATCTGTCCCTCATTTGGACTGACCCTTTGGGGAACCTCCTTTTTGGGCGCCATGTAAATTCGTAAGGGAGTAGGCCCCAATTAAAGTGAACTCACTCTCAACAGTGCACTTTTTATGGAAGTGATCAGGAACTTGGAAGGTGCCGTGAAGGTAATTGCAAGAAGCGCCCAATAATGTCCAGACACCTTGTGACGACTCCTTGAAATTTAGATTTCACGGCGGGGGGAAACACCCAACAACACGCACCATTCAGCAACCAAAAAAACAGTTCCCAAATATATCCCCTAAAAAGCAAAACCTTAGTTGCTGCTTTTGTCTTGGTTTGCGTTGGAGGTTCGGGAAGGCCTTCCTGATATTCGATCAAAGGGAACTGCAACATACGTGACACGTTTTGCTTCGCCGACGGCTTTTTGGACTCGGATCCTTGAACAAAACACGCAACATCTCGCCAGAATCTTTGCCCAAGGTGGTGTCCCCTCCTCGGAAAGAGGTGATGGTTAAATCCCAGGAAATGCAATGGAACCCCAGGAATCATAAATTCCCTGACTTTGAGAGGTCCCGGATGCCGATGCTTTTTAGGGCCACCCACCCCCCCCTTCCGCCAACATTAACGACCAGAGAATGACGGCATTGGTGCAACCCATGGCTCCGAAATATACCTGTAGCTGACACCAAAGAGGCTAGGAGCACAACAAAATGGTTGTCTGTGGCCCACGGCGCCCTTTCGTCGCAACGGCCTGGACAGCCTGGACGGCCTGGACAAAGGGAATGGGTCTGCATTGCTTGATGGGTCTAAAGGGAAAGCCAACAGAAAACCACATCTGCTCAGCGCTGTGGCTCCTTGAAACCTCTTCATCCTAGGTGTCACCTGTACAATTTGGAGCCATGAGGAGTGCGCCAATTGTGTCATTCCTTTGGTTGTCATATTGTTAAGGGAAGCCTCTGTCGGAAGCCAGCTAAAGTAAGCTCATGTCTTTTTTGGACGAAGTTTAAAGGTGTTTGCTTTGGGGGGAACCCTCATTTTGTATGATGTTCAAGGGAAATCAAAAGGCAAGCCTTGTGGGGTGTCCCCTCAAAAAAAGAGACACCCTTAAAGTGAATTCCGTAGAAGAGCAATCAATCACATCCGGGAATTCAATGTTTGCGATGTGCTCTCAGCGAAGTATGAGAGGAATCCGGCGCCTCTGATAAGCCCCATGCACAATGCCAGAATAGGTGACGAATACATGTACACACATATATTGACGTGTGTGTGTGTCTTGTGTTTGCTTCTTTCTCGCTGTTCACAAAAGAGAAAAGAACAACACAACACAATCAACACAACACAATCAACACAACACACACACACACACATACCCGTGCAAACATATCCGGAAGATCTCAACCTAGTGGACCATAATGGACCCCTTTTTGGACCCTTAGCACAAAATGAGGGTCCTGATTGATGCCTATTTAACTTTGCAACTGCCCAGAACTCCCCTTAAAGTTGGCTGTGCGTGTATATGGGATATGCATGCATGCGTGCATGCAGGCAGGCATGTGTGCCTGCAGGCATGCGGGCATGGATGGATGATGGATGGATGAATGGATGGCTGGCTGGCTGGGTGGGTGGGTGGGTGGGTGGGCGGGATGGATGGATGTGGGCGGGTGGGCGGGGTGGGCGGGTGGGTGGGATGGGTGGATGGAAGGGTGGGTGGGTGGGTGGGTGGGTGGGTGGATGGATGGATGGATAAATGCACATGCGTATAACACGTATGTATGTATGTATGTAGGTAGGTAGGTATGTATTGTATTGTATTGTATTTGTATATTTGTATATTTGTATATTTGTATATTTGTATATTTGTATATTTGTATATTTGTATATTTGTATAGTTGTATATTTGTATATGTGTATTGTATTGTATTGTACTGTATTGTATTGTATTGTATTGTATTGTATGTATGCAATATGTGTGTATGTATGTGTACACAAGCCTACGTAAATAACAATAACACACGTAGGTTCATGTATGTCGACATATGTACATATATATGTATATATATATATATACCGGTTATTGCTTTTCTACATGTACTGAATGTATAAATTTCACAGGCATCAGTTCCCCTAGGGTCACGTTGAGCCGTGCGCCAAGCCCCGCCTCTGCGCATGGATCGTGCAGTGATGCACGGGGGTTCCCGGCACGGGGACCCCCGGAGAGCGAAGGTCCATGGCAAGTTGACTGCGGAATTTCTGACTGGTCAACTCATTCCTTGAGTGGATTGGTCAGGAAATGGTTACTATATTTCATAATTTGATCAAACAAAATATGGATTATCTAAATGTGTAAGTGCTATATTGTAAATGAATATAGTTCTATTATAGACATATTTTGATTTGACAATTTAAACGTATTGGGCTTTGGAAGAACCCAGCCAAGCGCTGGACCAAACTACCTCTTTTTGAAAAGGACATTGTTCAATTGTGTGGTTTTCCTGATATTGTGTGGAACATGTTCACAGTTGGTCACGCCCAACACAAGTGAGACCAGGCTGAGCCCCCAAAGCGACCTTGTTACTCTCACGGATTCCTGGTCGAGGATATCCCTTGTGATGATGCAACTCGCCCTCGAGTTGGATGCATAAACAATCCCCGTTCGATGCATTTAGCTGAAAACATGGGCCCAATCTGGGTAGTCCTAAAAGGGTGGGTTACCCGGTTTACCTTCCTAAGCTGATTTTGCAGCACCCAAAGGCTTCTTTTCGATCTCTTTCTCACACTCAGGAAGAGGCCTGTCTGCATTGCGTCGGGCATGACGTCTGGATAGGGGCCATGTGTGAAAGCCACAACTGGGAACCAGTCTTGGAATACCTCGCCCCAAAAGCTCACACTTTTGGGGCCAGAATGGACTTCCCCAAAAGAATAAGGTCTCGGAACTCAGAGGGGAAGAGTTTGAGTTCGCGCCCCGAGATGTTCCATGCGCGTGGTCACTCAGCGATCTGATCCAAATGTGCTTGCGGATCAAAGGCTCTCACGCCCCCACATGCACCAAAGGGCTCCGAATGCTTCCCCACCCAGCACCCAGGACCCTCACCTTAAATCGGAGGCAGGGGAAAACAGCAAGCCACTGCTGGGGGAAAAAGAGTGGCCCTGCCAAGTTTCAATTCAAGGGAATTTGGGATGGTCTTGGAGGTATGGAGGTCAAAAACTTGTATAAGGGCCATAAACTGCCCTGCTTGGTACAAAAAAGGCATCCATACCTCCAAAATCCATACCTGGCAATTCCTTTGACAGGACCTGGGAAGCAGTTGGCCACGGAACGGGTGAAGGGGTCCTGGTGGCTCGGAGGGTTCATGGGTCCCATGCGTATGGTGAATTGACATGGACCATGGGAACATGCACAAAGAGAAATTGCTGGGGAGGCAGGGGAATCCATGTTTTTGCTCAAAAGAGTAGCCTTTTGGCAGTAAATCCTGCACTCAATACTGTAATTCACATTAGTCCCATCGAGTTGTTCGAAAGCATCTGGGCAAATTGTTGCATGCAACTTTTGCAATCCTTCAACCTGAACCAAAAAACCAACAAGCACTGGAATCATACTTTCCCTCCAACCCGGCACTGACAGAGTTCCTTCAAGGCACAACATAGCAAGTATAGCCTTCCACAGGCGCTATGTTAGGAAGTGGAGGAAAGCTCGTTTCACCCTTGGATCGGCGAGCTTGCTATTAGAGCAGAAATATGGCTGCATTTGAGAATTGAACGCTACTTCAGGTCTCTTCAGGGATCCTGCTATGAGAATTGCCTCGCAACGACGGATCTTAGAATGAGGAATACCCGTGTGTTGGCCCTTATCATGGTGAGCTCGTACCCCCAGGCGAGCTCGTTATGATTTGTGCTAATGGATGAATACAGTGGTGAAGGATTCACCCCCAAAAAGGTTTACAGATCACGCTCATGTGATGATATGATTCCCACCCCAACCCGCCTTTGCGCTGCTTTCTGGCTTAGGCCACTTTAGCCCAAACACGCTACCGTGCGACCATTAATTTTTGAGGAATGATGACAAGCCCTGACAAACATCCAGCCTTTGGAAAATGTCTTGTCAAGGCGTTGACAGCTCGCTTTCGGGGATTGAAGGACAACCACCCCGGTCTCAATGACCTCCTGGCCCCTTTGCGCAGGGTTTCACTTGCGGGAACACCCGAATCGAAGTGGGGATTGAATTTTTGTTCCGGGGGTGATTGCTATGCCCCAAATGGGTGTTTCTTTTAGGCGAACCCCCTCTTTGGCTGGTTAAACATTAAAGATTGGAGACAGTCCTAATCAATTGGAGACAACCCCGTCGACGCGAGCAAAACCTGTCCCAGAAGGTTTCCAAGAGCCGCGGGGGGGCGCAGCCGATGAAGCAGGACAGCACCTTCGATCCGTTCGGCTCCGACCAAAGCCGCCAGACAAATCGGGGCTCCGACTCGCGAAAATCTCATGGGTTCCACGACCCAAACCGGAACTAGAAAAAACGGGGTGCAGTTTTCATGGAATAGAACCGACCCACATTTGCACCTAACGTGACATGTTTCCCCGTCCCAGCTTTGGTTGGGTGGAAACCACGGAGGAACTGGGGGGGGAGCATCCTGAAAACCTGGGCATGGTGACTCTCAAGGATTCCCACGAGAGCGGGGCTCTTGTGCTCACTTTCAGCTTAGTTAAAGGCAAACCAACTGGAGGGTTCAAGGAAATCATCTGAAGGCCGACAGAAAACCAAAAGACCCTGACCAATCGCTACATGGTCAGGGATGCCAAATCAATATTGCAAGCGAGGGAAACAAGGGGAAACTTGTGCTTTACCTCAAGGCGCCAGGGTTCCGTGTTTGGATGTGGCTGGTTCGCTTCCTTACAACCCAAAAATATGTCCAAACTATGCACAAACTGCCATGTCATGGTGTGTGTGTGTGTTCCTGGTGGCTTCTTTAGAAAAAAAATGGGGATTGGGCCCACCTGGGTATGTGTCAAACTAGACCCCCCAAAGGGATTTGAGGTTTCCGTCCCTTTAGTTAAAAAGTGCACCATCAAAAAGGGAACCCCACCCATATTTTGAGACTAACACCCACATCTTGTTCCGGGAATCCACCCAGGACCCAGGTGCGGGACGAAACCCGCCCCTTTCGCGCAAAAATCCGCACGAAACCTTCAGCTGCAGATCCGAAGATCCGAAGCGGACTCTGAGGAAGCGGCCCAGCTGTCCAGCAAGGAGCCGAGGCAGCTCTTCAGGGCCTCAAACGTTGGCTGCGGAATTCTTCCATTTGCTTCAGTCCCCAGGAAAAAGATGCACATATTTCCATTGGTGATAGATTCCCTTTGAAGCCAACAGGGGAAAATAAAAAGTGTTCTTGAGCAAATGGAAGAATTTGTTCAGGGGGAAGAACCAGTCTGTTAACCGTTCAAATAGATAGGGACCCCGATTACCCCTTGTAGTTTTCAATTATGGACACCAGAAGGAGACCCAACGCCATTCTAGGGGCCCGATTCCTATGTTGAGAAACACCTCAAGACTCGTTACAAATTGCGTGGGCCCGATTTCTGTCCAATGCTGATTCTGAGGGATTAATTTAGGGGGTTTGGGAATGATCTTTTTTAGAAAAACCGCTTGGATGGAGAGAGTCATTCCCGAAGCTATTTCCGCAGCTCTGAATTTCCGCAGCTTCTCTGAAGGGAACTGGGTGAGTCAATTGTCACAAGAACCCAGACTTATGCCATGGTGACAAAGCTCAAATACCAGGAACTCAGGCAGTGAGAAACCTGCTTTGATCACTGGATATCACTGGGCAACCTAATTCAACTTTGATCACCAGCTTTGATACCTCGCAGATATCACTGGCTAGCTGAGTCCACTGAGACAAGTCCCTGATCCCAAAGTTAGTCTCAGACTCAGTTGAGATCAAAACTTGATTATTTGATGTTTAAGCTTGGCGGATCTCAGTATTGGGTGACCTCAACTGGGTTCTAACACATGTGTAAACTGCTGCACGCATGATTGGCCTGTGATGCAGGCTGGAACTCTTTCGAACCTGTTTAGGTTTCCCTGGTCAAAACCTTCTGCTTTGATGTGTAAGATTGCTGGTTCTCGCTGTGAATCCAAGAGGGGAGGGGATTCGAGGAATGAAGTGTTTGGGGTCCCCTCAAATAAAATTGATGTTTAATACTTCGAGCCATAGATATCACAGGGGCAACTGCAGTTAGTCCCCTTGTACACCTGAAGTCAAGTGAGACAGGGCCATCCGTCAACCCTTGCTGCTCAAGGGGAAGGGCCCAGAACAACACAGCGTAATCTACAATGAATGACAGGGCAAGCCCGCGTTGAACGCAGAGGACCTTTGCATTGGATGGCTTCAAGCAACACCTGGAGTGCTTGGTGTTAAGAGAAACCCAGGGCTGCGGATGTGCTCAATGGGGGACTGAGCAAGTTCCCAGGTTTTGGATGGCTTGATGTTGGGAAACCAAGGGCTGGGGATATCATAGCGAAACCAAAGGTTGTGACTCTTGTCAAAGCTGCTAGGAGGATTACCAAACATGAGCTGTTTGAGTCAAGACAAAAACCCTGGTAAAGAGGACTTGCAATGGTGAACAATCGAACAGGCGGACGTCCGCTTCGCATGGGAACTGTCCCCTTTGAGGAGCTGGGTCCCCTGGGTCCTCCAAACTTATCATAACATCAAACCACCAAATAAGCATGGCCTCATTGGCGCGGAGACACCAAGGAGTTATGTGCCGCAAGCGAATCGATCTGAAGTGACTTGGGTTTCCCATATTCGGACCCGCTTGTTAGTTGTTAAGCACACTAACATGGGCTTTGAGCTTTTCATCTTCCCGCGCTTTCCAATCCGGCCACTGGGGCCCCTACTTCTTGGCCCAAGGCTTGGGAGATGGAGGGGCAGTACACCTCGATCGCATCGGTATCCCTCGAATGAATGGACATACCTCCCTTCCTGAGTAGATTGGCCAACAAAAGTCCAAACTTTCGGTTTACCACCAAAATGGTCTTGCCAAAAAACAGAAAGTTCAGAAACTCAGGAAGAGGCGGAAGAGGGATATAGAAGAAAAACTGAACTGCAGCATCAGGGGCTCTTTAGCCCCTTTTGTGTTTACCGTGACAAATACTTTTGAAACCGGTACGAGTACCCAAACAACCCCATTCGAAACAAAATTATCGGCCCTGTTAAGCAATGGCTTACACTACCCCAACCATTGTTTTCATGGCAGCTTTGGGGTTGGGATATGTGAATCATTAGCCCAAGAAAAGATTTTGCATAAGTCGAAACTAAGAGGTGGCCACTATTCTCTTATAGGCCAACAAGGTGATGATTAAAACCACCAAGAGGGAGAACACAGGGAACCTGGTCTTAACGTGGCTTCATCTCATCCATCCCCTGTCTGTGATACCAAAGCTTTTGTCGGTCGGCAGGGGATCCCCTTTGTATCACAGACAATTGCGCAAACAAAACAGTTTTCCCCAACCGTGCATCCCATTCCGGACACTTGCCTTGCTGATTCTCTGGGGTTTCGGGGCTCGGGGGCTCGGTTCATTCTGTGATTCCCTCCTGAGAACCAAGTTTCAGTTGGCTAATCCCCTTCAGGCAAACCAAGAGAACGGAATTTTCGCCCCTTTAGCTTCATCCCCTTCTCTGGTGACTTTAAGGCCGGATTGTCCGGTTCTCTTCACCCATCATCACCCATCAACCACGAAAATTATCCATGGATTTCTGGCTAGAAGGGCATCCCGCAATGGACAAGACGCTTTGGCTAGAGTGATGACGGGTCGACCTTCGGAGCCCCAAAGCTGCGCCTGGGCCTTGTCCAGAATGAAGGACCTGCGGCGTTGACAGCAAGCAAGGTGGCAGGCTTTTTGGAAGCGAAGTCCACGGAAAATGGGGCCTGAAGCAAGGAAAGTGTTGGGACACCACCATATGCAAATAGTTGTTTCAGCGTCCAGGACATTTGGATGAGTGCCCAACAACTTGGATCATCTTCAAGCCGAGTCCGGGCATTGGGGGTGTAAATGAGCTATTGATGTCCTCTCTTGACCAAACACCCAACTTGGCCCAACTCTGGGGTACGTAAACAACAATATGCTCAATGTAGGCCTCATATTTAGCCTACCCTAACATCTTGAATACGTAATATTTTTGGAGGAGACCCCACCAGAAAGTTACTTGTTCATGGTCACTCCTTTAACCAGCCGATCAATGATCACCGATCACCGGAATGACAGAATTGCCTTGACAGAATCTCGATTCGCTGACAGGACCTTGGGAAATGCAAAGCCACATCCTGGCTTGCCAAGAGGGCACTGCGGATGGACGAAATACATACCGATCAGCACCACTTCGTACATGTTCAATAACTTAGCAAGTAGGCTATAAGTAGGGAAACTGGGTTAGTCCCTCTACAACCATGGCAATAACATTTACTTACTAAGTGCTTTGAACCAAGTTGGGATTGTTGGCAACCGCTTTTTCAACTCGACTTTCATCCAAAGTGGTGCCTGCACACCAGAAACGTCCAAAGACTGCCCCATGTCAAAACCCAGCACTGTCCACCACTAGGTGGCTTCAACCACATCCTATTGAGCTCCCTGTGAGGACCAGGGGGTCGGGTGTACCAGTGTTAAAATCAACCCCGTGAGTGTCCAGTGCCCAATTCTTATCGGTAGCTGCCCAACCCGCCTCAAGCCAAGACCGCCGATGTTCACCATCTTCAGGTTCCCCCGCACCTGAGTAGGGGTTCTACAAACTGGTGATCGCCATTTGGTTGATCTTTAAATTGAAGCCCAACGGAAAACAAGTCATGAGCGAAATGGGTGGAGCGGCCATGTAGCTTCAACTTAACCATGTGGGTGAAGCCTTCGCTCGTGAGATCTCCGATAGCGTGGAAAGTGCAGAAGGTTTTATATTCATCACCTAGCAAAGTGGTAGTTTTGGCCAGGGCGAGGTTTAAAACTATAGAAATAATGGGGAAATATAGGGAACCCACTATGAACATTCCCTCCGAAAAGTCGCTCGGGTTCTAGCAAACAAAATGCTTTAGTTCAAGTGCTCTTGGGATTCCACCCATTTAAAATGTCCAAAACCCCAAGCCGTTCAATGAATGAACCTAAAGCTGTAGTTTAATAGTGAAAGATACAATCAGCCTCTTCAAACTTGCTTTCTGCTTCCAGTCATCCGTTTTGGAAGTCTGTGTTTGATCACTTTTTCCCATAGGCAATATAGTGTGATGTTCCATTCCCCTTAGTCACCGGCCCCTAGAGATTGTCTGTTTTTCTTGCAATAAAGGGGTGCCCTTTTTGGGGTTGGTTTTCATGACGCAGTCAGACCAACAGAATGCGCACGCCTTCAGTCCAGTTCCACTGTACACGAAGAAGCGCTCCCTGGGATCCTCTGATTTTCTGTGGGCGGCACATCCGCTCCGTAGAAGTCTGGGTCCAGCACGTCCTCTTTTGGACGGGCCAAATGCCAAGGATGCTTCTTGCGCCTCCGAGTCGACTGTTTTGGGCTCGAAACTAGTGGTTGAAGCCTTGAGGCAACGAGTGCCCTCCAAAAGGCATCTGGGTTCCACACCTTTCAAAGGTCTCTGTTGGACTTTGATGGAAGGCCCAAGATGCTTGAGCCTCTGGACAGATATTTCTGACTCTGCTCCAGAGTCAAGTCTACCCTAACATATATAGTAGTTTTGGAGACCAGTTAGTTTTCTTGGATCAGTATCAAAAAACAAAACAACAAAAACTTGGCGGCTGTCAAAACAATCGTAGAGTGCATGGCGTCTCCAAAACTCTGGAGATTGAGTCCCACTGGCAAAAGGGGCTTGGGCTTAGAACCCTTTCTGAAGTCACTGACTTGAAAGGGCCCCCAATGATTGACGGCTTCCCACCTGCCCCAACATGGACAAGTTGGGGCTCGTCCCCTCATTTTGTCGGGAAACTTCGTGAGTCCCCCTTGTGTCCTTCCCAATTGGCCTGTGAATCAGTAAACAAGTGTGCAACTGAAACGACTGTCATGAAGTGCGACTGTTTCCCCCACGTGAGGTTGAATGAAATTGGGAAGAAAAGGACCCCAGTTACCCCGGGTGTTTGAAGCGCTCGGGAACCATGCGAGGAAACCTGTGAAAGCGCACGCCTTGCACGCGGAATGACGTATGTTGGGGCAATGACAGTATCAATAAATTCGCTGCGGCTGAAGTACGCCCCATCCCGGCCAGGGAACCTTATTTAGAGGTTGTTTTGTTTTTTTTGGGGGGGTATTACTTGTATTTGGGGATTGCCGAGGCTTGATTAAGGTCAATGGATTCTCTTCAAGCAAGTGCGGCAACGTTTACAGGAGTTCCCCATCGATCTCCCGCTCCTCTAAAAGCATGGCAAGCAGCCAGAAGGCGTCCTCTTCGATGCCCTGGTCAGCTGATTTTGCAAGCCCGGCCCCCATTTTGGGGTGCGTCTGCTTAAGGGAACCACAGCCACACACGACCAACACACCAACACAGACCAACACACGCCAACACACGCCAACACACGCCAACACACCACTGCACAACACCACACAACAGAACAGAACACAACACAACAGAACGGAACACAACACACAGAGTAGGGGTCCCTCTGTTGTCCTTGATCCCCAGACGGAGATTCAGCAACCGCGTCTGGCCTCATAGATTTCAGAGGCCAACGCCAAGAGGCACATGCCCGCCATATGGTCCAGACCTTGGCAGTAAAGTCTGACAAAAGGGTTAGTTGAGCGCCCAAAACCAATTGACTGTAGGCTCTACTGAGATAGGCATAAAGGTTTATGTGGGTGATTGTATTTTTCCACTTTTTTGTGAGGTACCCCTTGTTTGGTGGCTTTAAGGGAAAGCCAAAAGGAAAGTCGGTTATAGGCCTTGCTACCATCCCAGGTAGCGCAACCATGCTAAAGCGGCCTTTCTGGTGGTGTTAGTCGGCAAGGTGTGAGGGAATTGTTGAGAGACTCAAGGCAGAACCGGACTCAGAAGTCGGCTGCCTATTTGAACATCCCACAGGCTCAACTGCTCTGGCCCTGTGAAGAGGGGTAGACCCCTCCCAAACATTCCATGAGCGTCTCACGTGTTACAGGTTTCCCTTCAAACTGGATGGATAGGGCATGATGGAAATGTGATGCTGTTTGGTTGATTCCCATTGAACCATGACGACTTTATCAAGTTCGGGGGAGATTCCGCTTGGCTTCACGGTTTTTCTGCCCCCAGCACCCAATTTTTCACACTTCAATGGTGTCAGAAGGCGAACTGAGGAACCGAAACACAATTTGCTGGCTCCTAGAAAAACCAAGTTGTGGGTTCCCCTGGACCAAGGCATCCTACGCTGAGGGGAAAGGAACCTCCAGGGGAAAGGGACCTCAATGGCTGGAAGTCGCAGGACAAGGTGGAAGTTGGGCTTAATGACAAAGACCACTAACTAAACTCAGAGTGTCTCATTTATTTTCAACGTGCATCCTCTGAGGCAACCCCCATTACAGCCTCCTTTTAGCTGGGCTGTCCTCAGATCCCCTGCTAAAAGTTCAACTTTTGGTGGGTTAAATGGCTGGGAACCATCAAGTTAGGGACCCATTTTCAAGTAAACGACAAATCCTGGGTGCCCGGCAACCGCCAAAGGTCAGAATGTGACTAGAGGGGGGGGGGAAAAATGGAGAAAGTAGGGGGCCTGGGGGGAAGAGGGAGGAGTGTTGGGGTTATTGGGTCAAATGTTGTTATCCAACGTTTTAACACCCTTGTTTGATTTCATCCTATATTTTGTTGTAGGGTGTTAGGGGTGGATTTTCTAGGGGCCGACATTTTTTTCATTTGAAAGAGTTAGCCCTTTTAGTAGTTATTATGTTCTGGGGTGTTGGTGGTTCATTTGTTTATTCCTATTCTTGTTCAAAGTCACTTGTTGTTTCCATGTAATCTCTCACAGTATCGTTATTGTTTTCTTGACCTTTCACTCTTAGTTGGTGCTTACTTGTTTGTTGGTGTTTTTTCATTTTGTATTTTCCTACCATACATTTACATAAAGGACATTCTACTTTCAATTGGTTATAGTCTTTCTGTTTTTCATTTATGTCTTCTTTGTTCTTTTCTCTATATTCTTTTGATTTTTGCTTTATTTCGTCTTTATGCTTTTCACGATAAATCTTGTTCTTTTCCAGTATAGTGTCTTTGTTATTCTCTCTATATGTCTTTTTCTTCTCTACAATCTGCTCTTTGTTGTTTTCGTAATACTCCTTTGACTTTTGCTGTATTTGTTCTTTGTGTGCTTCTCTATACCGCCGTTTGCTCTCCAAGCATACATTACATTGTTTTCTTCCTTCGTTGAACTTTTCTAACAATTGAAAGACTTTACATTTGGAACATTGCTTTTTGTCTGTCATTGGTCTCTATATGTTTAAGGGGTTATTTGTTTAGATAAGTTTAAGGGGTTTTATAGGTTAAAAGTTCAGTATAATTATAACATATAAGATTTTACATGTTATTACTATATTATGATCATAATTTCAGTTCAGGATAATAATCTAATTGGTTTGTCTTACTTCTTTCATACATCATTTTAAAAATAATATTAACATCTCTCAATGTATTTTGAATATTAAACTTTTTACTTTCAATAAATAATTTGATATTGTCTTTAACATCTTCTCCTTTCTCTTGACTATAACCCAACATCCATAATATATCGTAAATCATTGCATATTTTTCTTACTGATTTTAAGAAACTGTTTAACACAGTCGTAAGGTGGTATTTTATTTACAGTTAGAAATATTAAAATATCATCTTCTACATTTCTATTATTTATTCTTTTTATTTCCAACAGACATTTGATTAAAAATTGATTATCTCTCCAAGTTTTACAATTTTCACATTCGTCTTCTTCACCATCCATTGAATAATTAATAATATTATTCACTATTTCATTAGGTAAACTCAATTTATACAATTCCATATTTTCTTTTTTGAAGTGACAACAATCATAGCATTTTTTATCGATATAATTATTGATTCCATCACCATTCATTTTTCTCTTAATATATAAGGTAATATTTCTTTAAGTAGTTTTGGCTAGGGGGTTGCTGGTCGGCTGGTCTGGGTTTCAGGTTTAATTTAAATGTCTTAACCTTCTTGTTAGATTAGAAAACAATGTTTAATCATATTATAACTAAATAATATGAATAAACATAACTGCTTCTATCCAAATTTAATTTCAACAACAATATGATTAGAATAACTCATCAACCCTTTTTACAACAATATCATTGAGATGTTGAGCCACTTGCACTTTCCGAGGGTTCAGAAAGCCCCGTCCCACTTTCCAAAGGGTTGGAAAGTCCACCCCCAAACTCAGCAAATCACCACCTAAATTAGGGTTTCCAAAGGGTCGGAAAGTGTTGTCAAAGAAAGCCCTTTCCCAGTTTCCAAAGGTTCGGAAACTCACCCACTCCTACACGCTCTGAGGCTGAGAAGTCATCTGCTGATGTCTACTAGGTTCTGGGATGGTGTAGGGCTCGTATGCTGTAATCCCCCCTTTCATCAAACAAACTAACAAACAATTCGCTAATCAATTCAGTAGGGATTTTATATTGTTCTTCTTGTTTATGTTTCACAAATCCTTCACCCCAATCTGATTTCTTTCCCGATGGCAACCGTTGAGCAGTTTCTAAATGTTTCCCATTCTTAATTTTCCCACAATCCCTTTTACATAATGGTCTAGGTTTCCATGTTTCAATGTTTGACCACAACCTCGTTCGCTTCCTTCTCCAGCTTCAGTTGGTTGTAGCGTAGTCTATTGTATTCCTGTTTCTTTTCACGGTTTTTTAGGTAATACTGGTGATAGTAATCTTTCATTTTCTCTGGGTTTGCTTCAACATACGCTTTGTGGTTTTGTAGTCGCTTTTCTTTGTTCTCGTAGTAATACTTTTTGTCTCTTTCTTTGTATGTCTCTATATGTGTTTCACGGTGTTTCTTCTTTCGTTGATTGATTTTGTCTTTGTCTCTTTCATAGCGTTCTTTGTCGCGTGCTTTTATTGTATCAATATTGTTGAAATATCGCTGTTTGAACATGTCCTTTTTATCTATGTAATATTCTTGTGTGTTTCTTCCTGCCTTTCTTTCATTTAGTTCTGCCTGCTGTTCAGCTATTATATCACCTTCTCTTTTTCGTAGTTGTTGTAAGTTGTGATATTCAAAATTCTCCAAATGCTCAATGAAGAAATTGTCTATACCAAGTCTGTTCATTTCTTGATGTATCAGCATTTTTCCACAATGTTTAGCATCATGCCTATGCTTTGCCATCCGTTTGTGTAGTGCTTGTTTAGTGCTTCCAATGTATATTTTGTTGTTCAATGTGTTTTTGATGACATAGATTTGACCCTTGATGATTTCTGCTTCTATGTTTTCCATAGTCTTGATTATTATAAGATACAATGTATTCTTTAACTATATTTGGCAAAGATTATGGAGAAATTAATTCTAATAATTTCATATTATTAGAACTATGTAGATAATTATTTTATGGAATAATGCCCATATGGTAATGAAGTAAAGGCATCTAAGTAATATCTTTTATTTTCAAAATTACTCAGAGATTGCTTAACTTGAGACATTGAGAATAACTGATGGTTGCAACTACGAATAAAATTATATGTTATTTCATGCTTTTTGTTTTGAAATAATGCTTCGTGATAGTTCTGATATGACAGTTCTTTTTTCACCTTGTGTTTTACTACACCTTTTGACTTTTTATGTTCATCATCCTCACCGTGTATTGTAAAAGCATATGACTTTGGTTTGAGAGCTATGAATTTGGTAATTATCTTTGAAGAGCATTCGTCCTTAAACATTCCTAAGACCTTTTTATTAGTTTTGTCAAAGCATGGATGTTCAGGTGGATAGTCGCTAAAATCCATGTGTTGCTTTATATCATTGAAATCCTTATAGACATCATCAGTCATGGTTTGAATTACATAACTGTCAGTATCAGTATAAACCAGTTTTATGTTTTCATTGTATTTTTTCTTAAGGACATCATAGTAAAACTGATACATATGTAATTTACTTAAATCTAAAATCGTCATTCCTAAAAAGATTGGTTTATCCAGTTTCAGTTTTGCTTTAGTTTTCTCAACTCCTACAAGATGTTCATTTATTATAAATCTATTTTTGAAGGTTGGATTATTCACACATTTTTCATATCTAACTTCATTATCTACTAATTCAAAATCCATATGGTTTCGCTTGTCTTCCATGGTTTTTCCGTATATGCTATTATTCATTAATTTGAATAAATCTTTCTCAAAATCGCTTTTGGCTTCTTTCCTTTTACCAGTGTTGAAATCAATCCACGGTTTCAACCAAGCCCTCTGTTGAAACTTTATTATCCTATGGACTTTACCCATTTTCATTCCCATTTTCAAATAATACTGTAAAGTCTTGATATGAACCACATATTTTTCTTTATCCTTTAGATTTAATATTAACTTACTTGTTTTCTCGTCCTTGGGACTTTTACCGTCATAATATATTTTGAAGACTTGCTTTTGATAGTCGGAAAGCATATTCACATTTACATTCATTATTTCAGGCGCTAGTGGATAGTCGGAGTGGAAATCGTGCAATGTTTCGGGATATTCCAAATCAACTTCCATAATATAACCGAACTCATCGTTTTCATTCCATTTTTCAACACTGGGCGTTTTCTTTGCC